AAATTATGTACTTAATAAATCCCATCATGGCTAAATTTTTTCCTCATTTCAAGAAACAGCACTGCTGAATTTTAACGAAATCGACCAAAGCATATTAGTGATTTGAGATGTTTATAAAAACTATGCATTTCCGGACGCAGGTCCGGAAAAAAATCAATATTTTATCATGTAGAATCATCCCTGAATTTTGTCGAAAGTTATTTCCGGACACCCTGTATATTATTATTCAGCCTACCGGCTCACTTCTAGGAATTGCAAAAAATGCTCGGGTGTGGCTGAACCACAGGCTGAACCACGCCGACTGACGATTTTTTGAGTGACCCGTCTTCTCGTTCTTTGAACCCTAATAGGTATTACCAGTAATTATTATCAACGTTCTTTCGTTCGATTGATCTGTGAACTGGATGTATAAGAAATAAGAAGGGCGGTAGTTAGGTCACAGTGTTAGGTATAGGAGGGTATAGGACATGACAGGTATATCTAAATCACTTGAAATTTTCACAATGTCTGTTGATAATTATTATTTTTGAATCATTACGACCCCAAAACCAGCATTTTCAGCAGTTTCTGTCTTTCTAATTTTTTTATATCTACCATATAGGTACGTATCTACAAGCTAATTAAACTCACTTAGCAGCGAGCCTAGCAGCACATGAAATCTTTTTTTGAACCTGCTCATCCTCCGTATTTTTGTGTTCTCTGTAATAAAAGTCAATGAAGTAGGTACTTAACTAGTTAATATCGATATTGACAATGAAACATTTACCTTTTAAGATGCAAACCGCGTCGCGAATTCTTCACAAAGATTCGAGGCATTTTTCAAAAAATTCCAACACACTAAAATTGTTCTATTAAATATTCAAACCGTTATCCACTATATGATGATCACAAACACAAACAATGATAGGAGTAACTTTAAGTATTTCGCGTGAAACAATATTATTTTGACGTTACGGGAACAATCACGGTCTCACTGACCACATATATAAATGAATGGCTCCCCCAAGATTCATTCCCCATCCGCGAATAGATAAAATACACTGAAAAAACAGCTCTACTCGAAGCCGCCATTCTGGATTAGGTAATATTTTTGAACTATATGGTTTGTGGTTGATATTTATCATACTAGTGACCTTATCCAACTGGATGTGATGACGTAATCGAAGATTTTTTATATGAGAATGAGGGTTGTGTGATAGCTCATTTGCAGGATTATGCCATTCTATATTCAGTGTAATAAACATCAACATAATTATTTATGGACGGTGGTCAAAATAAACAATTCTCAAATGAAATCAATTTTTACAACAAGAACTAGGTATGAAATTCATTTAAAACATTTTATTCCCAGATAATTACCATTATTTGAAATTTTTCAAGACAAGGATTCACCATTAGATATTCGTTTTCCAGTGCTCGCAGTGTCTTCGTGTCATTATGTGTCCATTCTTTTGCAAATACTTTACCATACTTTACAATTGTAATAATGTCAGTAAAAAGAAAAAAAATTCCGTTGTTTGACAAATAAAAAATTGCTATCCTCTCAAATTAAATGTTTAAATTGCCACCCGAGGAAGACATTTTTCTCGTATATTGTATGGATCATTTCTGGAGTTATATTACGGAATTCCAATCTAATTCTATTTCATAAATCTTGTTAATTTTGTGGTCTATCTATATATGTACAATTTTGATTGTCAGTAGAAAGAGAATTGAATAGACTTTCGAATAAGAACACTATATTCTCATTTTAAAAAATCATCGATTACGTCATCAGGCGCAGATGGATAAGGTAACTAGTATGATCATGACAAAATCATAATCTGAAAATAAGAATCGACCTATCTTGAGATTTGTCTCCAGAGTTATTCTGATATTCTGGAATAAATTAATTTAATTAAAAATTAAATATTTTTTGGCCACCCTGTATGAATAATTATGTTACAGTTTATATCACTGAATAGAGAATTCAATAAGCTTTCGAATGAGCTATCACAAGTCCCCTATTATCATTTAAGAAAATATCGATTACGTCATCACGCCCAGATGGATAAGATCACTAGTATGATATATCAAACACAAAATCATAATTTGAAAATTGAGATCGGCTTGTTTCGAGATTTCTCTCCAAATTCGCCAATTCTTGAATAAATGAATTAATTCCATAATTCTGCCCCTCACTCTGTATGTGTATAGTGTCACCAGAATTATGAACACCTCAAGTCGATCGGACGACTAGAAATGTGTTAAATTTCACTTGCAAAATTTTGTCCGTATAGGAATAATTGGGAAAAAAATAATGAATAAATCTAGATAGAAATAACAGGTGGAGCTAAATAAGATCTTGTGATGAATTAATATAGGAAAAACTTATTTTTTACAAGTACCTGGTATTCGAACAATTATATAACAAGAACATATTTTGTTTCAGGACAATATTTACTTGGCTATATCTCAAATCACAATTTCTCCAGATACATATTTCTTTGAATGGAAGTTTTTTTCTGTGTGGAAAATAAAAATAATTGAATATACGCTCTCCCTGTCTTCCAAACATCCAGGTCGGTAATTAATTTTCAAATACATTTTCATTCATGAATATCACAGAAAACTGTGAGAATCGTCTATTAACTTCCAGAATATCCGTTTTATGTTTAATTCATAACGAGAATCTTTAATGTCGCAATTCTACGACGTTTTGGAGTTTTGGCAACACTTTATTCATTGGCTACGCGGGCTCTGCAGTCGGCACGATTTTGGTAGGGATTCAAGTAGAAAGCTGTACGGGCTATCTATGTTCTAGGAAAGGTTTCTGCAGAAATTACCGACCAGAAGTGTGTCGGGAGGGAGGGGTTGTGTAATTTTAGTTGCATAAATTAAGTAAGACCCAGCGCACTAGCGCCATCTTACAGCTGAGAAACGCAAAATTGTTACCTTTACTTCTACCTTAAGTATGTCTTTGAAATTTCCGAATGTTGCCATACACATCCAATATTTTGTATTCATTCAATTTATCACAATTATCTGTGAATTGAAGCATTATTGTATACTTACTTTCATTTATCCGCTTGCGATTTCTGCTTGGGTTTTCTGAATTTTGTCTGAATCACGTTGTGCAAATGGTTAGTCACCATGATATTGGATTGAAGCAAATTACTCTGATATTTGCTAAGGTCACACTTCGACCTGTTGAAGTTATTATTCCGTGTATATAATGATCATCCATTAATAATGTTCAATTATATCGTGGTCAAATGGTGTCCTTTATAAAGTATAAAATCTATGGTATAATATTACTTTTTTTCATCATTTGATGGATCAGGATTTCTTGACACTTTTCAGTGAGATAAAAAACTGAAGGCAATCCGCGAAGAGTGATATTTCCATTTTCATTGTGGAAGCAGAAGCAGCTTCGTTCCCGATGGATTAGTGAAATTTTATATATCTTTTATCTCTTATAAACCTATATATACAGTGTGACCATCAGAAATTATTGCTCAGCATGGGGATGTAGAAAACGATAGGAGATACGGGTGCGGTTGATTTGCCTTCAAAAATTCTCAAAATAATTTATTGTTTTTTTTTTGGTATATAGAAAAAGTGAATTATTTATTTTCTACGTCATTATCGTATATACAGATAACGCGAACACTTATAATTGGGAGCGATAACATATGCATTATGAATAGTAAAAATAATTACAGTTATTTTGTTGATAGTTCTACAAATATGACTCGTCGCATAGGGAGTCACTCCCTATCCTCCCAAGGCACGCACGATGTTTTTCGAATATTATAGGGACTCCCTTTCCATCCAGGGGATGAAAAAAATTGTGGGCATTCAAGGGCAGTGACATTTTGACAAATAATTTACACTTACTTTCTCAAAAAGTGGATCGATATCATTCAATCTGTAGCAACTAATTTGAACAGCAAAAATAAAGCACCTCTCTTATCATTGCTATCCTAATGGCAACTATGGATTTATATTAGTTGGTCAAATATATATCTCAAGCAAGAATTTTTTAAAACGACATGGGCAAACTAACCTTCTGAGAGAGTTCATCATAAATTATTCCATCAGTGGCGACTATGTATCAATTAAAATAATTTTATAATAGAATATGAATCAAAATTTTGAATCGGAAGCAAATTATATTTCTCCATTATCAATTGGTCTTTCTGCTCGAAGGAGATTCCTCCTTTTTCTAGAAGAATTATAGAAAATGAAGGGTGCAACGACTTCTAGTAGGTATATATAGTTGTATGTATATTTGTATTATCCATAAGCACCGTTGATAGAATTGATTGAATAAAATAGCAGGTAGCAGAATGAAATACACAGGGATAGTTATAGGTGTATCGAGAAAAGAATCTTCCTTGTTCTATAAAGAACTATGTAAGTATGAAAAATGAAGTTGAAGACAACAACGGCTCATACAGTAGGTATAGTTTTACGTATATTTATATAATTCATGAACGCCGTTGACAAACATGTTAAATCGAATTGATAGATTAGAATATCAGGTAGATACAGCAGAATAAAATAAACAAGAATTAATAGTGGAAAAAGGGATAATAGACGAAGACGTAAAAATGAAATACAATTTCGTGAACACGTGAGTAAGAATCAGAGTGTTGATGCGGCTTTCACGAAGTTAACAGTGCTTTGTGTATGCTGTTATGTTACAGTTACACAATGAGTATATATATACATTCACCTATGTAAATGAAAATCAGTGAGCTTTTATATTAAAGACCTAAGCAGAAGATGCGATTTGGAATTTGCTGTTTGTGGTTGGGTGACACACAGATAGTATTATTATTTCATGTTGAATTAGGGCATTAGAAATTGTTGCCTCAAATCAGAAGAAGTTATCACATCGAAAAGAACCAGTAGGATTTATTATTTGTGTACTGCTAAAGCTCATGTTGCTACTAAATTTTGAATTGAAATTGAATTGCCAAAATGTATTTTATTCTGGATATTATACCTTATACCTTTCAAATCTCCAACACCATCATTATCACTATCCATGAAAGATCTTGGATATATTTGGTAAAATACTGCAGTTTGCCACCAATCCAGAGAATCATCTGATGATTTCAAGGAAACTGTGGTAGATTTTTGGACATTATTAGAATCTACTGCTAAAATCCCTATAACCAACAGAGATACTATATGGCACCACATGACATCCATGAAACAAATCACTTCACAGTAATTCTAACAATTTGTTTACTTCATATTTATATATATATGGCAAGAGAGACAATACGAGTATGTTGATTGTTATCGTTCCAGTGAGTAGGTAGGTACTCGTGATTGTTTAGATTATTTTGTTTATTCCGATATAAGCTGTCGTTATTTTTAATAATAATGTCCCTGCTCGAAATCATGACGATATAAAATATACAAATGGATAGATCAGAACTATCTGAATGAGTCGTTGATAGATCAATACATCTATATATTACATAGCATGAGAATGACATCAGTTTGATAACAAAGCCACATGTTGTCGAGAAGGAAGATGTTTTCTTGCAAGGATGTTGGGTTCATTTAGAAATCAGATTCAAACAAAGTCTTCGAGGTGGAAGTAGTAACACCATATTGATATAATTCTTATTTCTTCAATTTCATCCAGTAATGATCCTGTGATCATATGCTACAATCTCCTATGTACTTATTTGATTATTTATTCTTCAGTTATTGAGCATCACAGCTCACATGATTACGGCTAATCACACTTTACTATCCATCTCATTTTGATTCAATGAATAACTTCACTACTAAGATAACTATTTTCTTTTTCTGGTACAGGTTCGTTATCAAGGAAAAATTATCGTAGCTGAATGCATATTCACATTGAAAGTATATCAGTGACAGTCTGCAACTCATTCGAAGAGGTGGATGAATGTATATTCCTCTATATTCTCTTGATTTCCTCTCCTTCATCCTATGAAGAAAATTCAGAAATTGGTATTTGAATATGTATGTAGGTATTTATATACACGTTGATCCAGAGCACTGATATCTGGGTTATATCATGAGCTGAAATAGTCATCAATGTACCAAGAACGAAAAACTTTCTATTATAGTGGAGTAAAAATTGATAGTCGAGGCCCAACCCCGCTAGCCAGGACGCGACAAAATAAAAAGTTTTTCGCCGCGGTACATATTGAATTTTTCCGTCTGACACCACGGACTCCTCGCCAAGTTCATGGCTTGCCTCCCCAGCTATGTTCTTTGCTAGCTAGTTTTCTCTCACACAGGTCTCTCCATGTAGTGGTCGACGGAGTTTCATTTGACTCTCTCATCAAAAGGCTGGTGTACCGCAAGGATCAATTCTAGCACCAACACTATGTCTACTCCATATCGACTATATCAACGATCTGTTAGAATCAACTTCATGTCCAGTACACAGCTTCGCGGATGATAGTACCCTCCATAATGCCTTCTCTTCCAGGGCTCCAATTCCAGCCAGGCAAATCAGAAACGAACGAGGGAGAAATGTTGACAACATGAATATGGACTTGGCAACAATTCTCGAATGGGGATCAACTAACTTGGTAGATTTCAATGCAAACAAAACACAAGCATGCCTTTTCTGTAGAAAATCCGATCTCACTGTGCCCAGCATTTCGTCTCGTGGGTGATGCCTCGCTCACAAACTCACTCACTTCTCTGGAACACCATAGAAAAGTTGGCGATCTGGCTCTATTTCATAGATATTTTCATGGACGATGGTCTTCTGAAATATCAACAATTGTTCCTTCCTTGGCAGTCCTCGCGAGATTAACCCGTCGAGTTGAAGCATCGTGGTCACTTTGGAGACCTGCAGAACATCTTTATCCAAAGACTCGTTCATCCAACGAACAGCGAGGCTCTGGCATACATTACCAAGGGAGGTGTTCTCCGAGACATATAACCTCCAGAAATATAAGGAGAACACCAATTCCTACCTTATTTCCCATGGTTATCACGATGTTCTCTGAACATTACAGGATATACCTTTTCGTGGGAACCAGAACACACACAAAAATCGTAAAATCTATCGAATTTCGTAAAGAATCAATTTGACATCAGCAAATGACAACTTTATCGCCGCTCTCGCACCATAGCGGACAAAAATAGCAGATTTTTCATTGGGAAACTAGTACGTGAAATTCGATTTCTTCTGAAGTTCAGCAAAAATAGTTTTTCATGCAGCAAGAACGGAAACCTGTCTGTTATAGTCGAGCCTACGAATGAATAGCCGAGGCTTAGCCAAGTCTAGCAAATAGGCGAGACAAAAGACAGTTCTTCGCCGAGGTGCATGTTATATTTTTTCGTCCACATCGGACACCAACATACACACAACGCTTTTATTCAAACATTGACAACAGGAGATGACAGTTATTGTCAACTTGATCGCCGCTCTCCCATCGTGCCGTATCATAGTGACACTGACCACAGCGGACGAAAAGTTAGAGCCTGCGGACGAAATAGAAATGTACGTAACCAGTTAGGAAACGCGTCATTCTGTATGACGACAGGATATTACCGGAGGAGCTAAGTGAGATCTAGCAAAATACAGGGTTAAAACAAAATGCGTTTCCTTACTAGTTTCTCACGTTTAATATTTTCTTCAATTTCGATGGAAAATTCTGCTCGAACAGATATAATGACCAGTTCCAAATGATTAAGTACAAAATTTAGTATTAATTTTATTGATTTGAATTCATATTATTTCAGTCACGACCCTGCGGCCTGCTGGATGAAACCCAGTGGCTACTCCCCACAGCCTGTGAGGTGAATCATCACTGGGACCAAGAACCATGTGCCCCGAGTAAACGCAATGATCCAAGCATAACGGTCTTCTGCATGCCACCAGCCAGGATATGTGCCTTATTAATGCATGCTGGCATTTTCTGGATTACCGAGAGCAGCGTATGTCGTGTGCCTCTTATAGGAAGCCGATTATCAGGATGACCAATTCCACAGAATGGTCTGGATAGAGCCTACGGATTTCGAAGAGAAGATTTCGATATTTAGTCAGTTTCTCCTCCTCCTTCGAAACGATGTTTGGTTCGGCTGGCGCCAAAAACTCGATCACGAACATCGCTCTGGTTTGATGGTCGAGGAGGACTTCATCAGGCTTGTTAGCTTGTATATGCCTGAGGGTGTGGAATGAGAAGTTCCAAAAAATTCATTAATATTAATAATAGTATTATTATTATTTTCATCATTATTATTATTATATATTATTATTATCATCTATCATTATTCATTATTCTTCATCATTATCATTCATCGTTATCATTCATCATTATCATTCATCATTATCATTCATCATTCATTATCATTTATTATTATTTATTAATATTCATTTCTATTTATTAGTTTATATCCAGTAGGCTAGTTGACTTTGCCTGTCACAAAAATATGGTCACAAATCAGCGACAAAATTCCTGAAATAGATTCGTTCGATATTTTCATTGGTGAAAAATGGATGATGCATATTCAGATTTCCAAGTGATATCAAGAATGCAGCACAAAATGCACTATTCTTCTCGTCCATCCATATATTAAATTCGTAACTGTCACCTATTGAAATAAACATTTCATCACCAGTTTTGTATTATTTTTCTTATCGCAACTGGTAACATGAAGTTGGACGTTTCGGGACTTCCGTCAGTTTTGAAAAGTGTCAAATTACATATCAAAATCAAAAATAGTAATTGCTTGCAAAACTAATCGATTTTTCATCCGGAAATAAGTACGTAAAATGTCATTTTTTGTAGAGGACGACCAAAAAATAGTCATATAGTCTATAGCTCTATATTACTATATCTACTAGAAACCTCCCTTAACTATAGTTCCTCGAATTGCACCACCACGTTTTCTCCGGTTAATCTTCATAATATTTACAGATATAAATAAATGAAATATTAGTATCATTTCGATGTATCTGTGATGAGATCAAATAATACCAAATCAACCGTGTGGTGGTCGATTTGAAATATCCCCACGGTAGGTCCTAATTGTCCTAGAAGCCGACTAATTGGACGCCAATAGGTGGAAGATGGCTAACACCATAGCCGGTGCGATATCAACAGATCAACCATAGGCACTGTGAAATGATTCCGGCCAATCCAATGCGATTAAATATCCTTTTCCTTTCACCACAACCTCCCTTTTCAATAAAGAAGAAGTCATGATGAGTTCTCCTCAAGTTAAATTATCCGGAAGTAAAATATCTTTCCATTCGGATTTCCGGGCGGGAGGTGCTAGAGGGGGTTCACTATCGGCAGGAAAAGTCCTGAAGATAGACCTATGTAACATCCGTGGTCTGAGTAGGAACATCGATGATCATGATGATGATGTCCATCGACACCTTCAGACTAAAATGCCAGACATATTGGCCCTGACTGAGACACAGGTCAATTCATCCACCTATATGTTCTGTCCTGGGTAGTAGCTACACACACTCCTCAGGTTCGAAAAAAGTATCTGCCTCTATTCTAAAACGAATCTCTCATGTCATCTAGAAAAAACTTTGGTACCAGATAAGTTTGTTGTTATGTAGTCCAAACTCGATAGCCAGAAACAGACCAAATATCTTTGTTGTCTCTACTTATCAGATTATGATTCAACCTTTGAAGAGCTCTTCCTTGACCTTGAAGCTCGACCTAATTCAGCAGAACCATCCAGCAGCAGGAATAATCTTCATGGGCGATTTTAATCTGCACAACACTGCTTGGCTCGTACACTTCACCACAACGGATGAAGCGGGGCAGAAGGCCAAAGCTTCCACCATCACTCACAGATAAGAGCAGCTTATCAAGAGACCTACAAGAATTCTCAAAGCCCCTCTTGGCAATTCTGATGATATACTTATCTCCACAACCTTTCCATTCTCCATTCCATCAAGTACTTCAGCACCTCGACGTCTTGTATGACATCATAACCCAGAAAACGGTCTCCGCATGTTTTTTTTCGAGTGTCCTTGGCATGAAATATGCTTCGATCCTGAGGATCATTCACAATGTGCCACGGGAATATCCGAGATCATCACGCTTGGAATGGACACATACCATATTCTTCGAAAAGACCATCAGCATCGAAACCCTGGTTTAACGAGCAAGAACTGTTCTAGAGTTGTTGCCTTGCTGGCGCAAGGACTCTGACCTCGTGACTAGAGCAGAATATGTAGAAGCAAGAAATAACTGCAGCCAAACAGTTAATGCATCAAAAGAATCATTCAATGCCAAAATAGGAACAAAACTCATAGATTGTCCCAATTCTCCTGGGGAACCAACAACCTGGATGAATTCCAAGCCACCAAAACTTGAGCCTGTATTTTCTCTAGAAATGCGGAACTCAGTATGCCTGATATAACATTGTCTGGTACCACCATTTCCACCAAGACCACTATATCTATGCTCGGTATTACCATTAGCAATACTTTTTCATCGAAAAATCATATCCGATTCATCGCAAAAGCTGCTTCACAAAAACTCGGATTCCTGTTCCGTGCGAAAATCTACTTTACATCTCAACAGCTTCTCATGATCTACAAAGCACAGATACGGCCAGTTTTATACTAATGTTCTCATGTATGAGGTTTAGCACCCAAACATACGC